TTTTTTTTGTTCTCCCCTGTGTAGGGTATGTTCGACGCCTCAGCAGCACAGCGAGTGCGGGCTTTCAATTACGCTCCGCTTGTTTTCGCGTTTATCCACTGGACGATGGGCCTCATGTACATCTTCTACGTCTCCTCACTCTTCTTCTTCGTTCGTGACGTGCTGCGACCCGGTGTTCTCTGGTTCCTGCAGGATTTCAATGACCCCGACTACAAGCCAGTCCAGGAGGTAGGTCCATATTTTGCCGTCGCCGCAGGTAAACGTACACTTGTTGCAATAGTAGAAGCAGAAGGCTGCTCTAGCACCGGTCGGACAGTTTGCTTATTGTTCTGAGCCTGCTTCACGGATGGGAATTCCATCGATCCGTGTACCGATTTGACACCGGCATACGAATTCCTACGCAGTCACCTCCAGACTCCTCTCACTTCAAATTGATTGGCTTGTACTTGTCGCCTTTTTGCTGCTGCTATCTTGCACGATAAACTCCTGCACAAGCTCAGAACGATAAACAACCTGTTCCGTTGCTGGAGCAGTCTTCTCATTAACTCATGCACAACCACCTAGGACTCGAACCTTAAAATCCATTCGTGGACATGTTGCGCTGTTCCTGTATCTCCACACGTTATCATCGCGTATTTTTTTCCTTTTGCAGATGATATCTATGCCGGTGCACACTTACATTCAGCGACTTATGGTGAACGTGGTAAGTTGGCTGGTACATAATGATATTCGGTTGTCATTATTTTCTTCTTTACTATATAACTATACGTAATTATTAATCATACTGGCAGCACAGCTAGTACTAGCTGAAAGCCCAGACACCTGACTCACCAGTATTCTGCCGCTGCTTTACACAGCTGCGGGGGATTAGGTTCCTAATTGGGCCCCCCAGCAATCCTGATGAGATGGAGAGAGAAAGATTTATACATACGCTTTATTTCGAAAGTATAATTCCAAAAGTTTCAGCAAAAGCGTCCTCCATTCACAAGGAATAAGATTATGCGCACACACTCACAACAGAGGGAAATGAAAAGTAATATATAATCGTCAATGAGTGTTATTGTCGACATCGTGCATAAATGTCCTTGGAAAATTCGTGAAATATAGGCCAACTTGGACTGCTTTCAAAACGGTGTTAGCGTCGTGCATTGATGATCTCATTTTAATTAAAATAAACAAAGTGGGATAAAAGTCAGTTTATAATGGGCGAAGTACAGTAGATTGCATATATGATGCAAAGTTGGGGATCGGATGATTAGACGCACACTTGAGGTTGCTTATTTGGTTAATTGGGTTGACTTGGGTCGCAAAATGTTGTTTACTAGGATTAAATTACGTTCAGATCAGAATACTGGGAGATAATAGAGGGTAAAATGGGCGAAATCCAGCGTTTGTTGATATCCGAGGAATTTCCAACGCTAATAAACGCTGCAGAAAAGAACTTAG